CCAGACGCAGGATCTCATGCAACGATCTTCGTACAACTCATTACGGTCACCCATATTTCTTTGAGTGTTTTCCCCCTGCAAGAACCTATGAACCCCCACCCCTCCGTAGGGCTAAAGTTGGGGCGGAAATTCTTGGCTTTTCAAAACGCGGACAGAAAACTTCCCGTGTCCCTGAGTCCGGGTTCCGGCGTGTAGCAGGCGCGGCAGGAGAGGCGCGTTTTAGCCGGCCGCTGATGAGGCGCCTGTGCCTCAACGCCGTCTTGTGCAGCCAGTGAGTTTGTGAATAGAATATCGTAGCCTCGTAGAAATGTTAATATGCATGAAATAATAATAAAAATAATAAATTAATTACAATATCTAAGTGCCGTAAAAACTCTCAATTTAGAGGGTCAAGTAGAATAAATGTTGGAAATTCCCTTACTTATAAGTAGTCTCTGAATAGATAAAAAGAGTAGAAAACTAGTTAAAAAGCGAGCTATTCATATAATTAAGTTGTGATATACTACATATGACATATCCTCTTTATGTGGCTTATTCGTGTATAGAAAACATAACTTTATGAGGAAGACATGTCATATTTGACGGAGAATAAGATATACAACTATTATATATCTTAACGAAATTAAAAATATCACACCGAACACCTTCGCAAGCAGGCCAGTTTACGCCAGTTTACGATGCGAGTTAAGAGGCGCATTATAAGCGGCCATGCGTCGGTAAACGCTAGATCTGTCGTAAGATTAGCTTCGTTTTTGCGGCGTATTAACGACATGCAATCTCAGTAACGTCGTTTACGACGAGACAGGGCGCCGTGACAGCGACTCGTCCCCAGGAGTGGAGGAAGGTTAAAAATAGCGTCTACAACATAGCAGATATGTCACCTTCAACATAGCGGCATATCGGCAACAACATAACGGCATGTTGACCACAACATAGCGGCGTGTTGCCCACAACACTGGAAGATATCACTCGGAATATAGCAACATATCACCATTCACGTAGCAACATATCACACTCAACATATCGACACATCGGCCATAATTTTGAACATAAGACAGCAAGGCAGACATGGACACGGGAAAGCTCTGGGCCGACATGGCAGTAACGACCCCAGCATTAGCATGCGCAATTGATCCCGATTATCGAGTAGCTTTTGTTTATTGTTATCTTTGGGAACACAGCTTGTCCATCGCCTGATGATATCATTGGGAACATGGCTTGTCCATCACATGATGGCCTCCAACGCGGACTGCGGATCCCCAATCGACATGTATAAGGAAATACGCAAGGCATAAATTGTATAAATTAATTGGTTCATAATATTGGTGCTGCATCGTTGGTTTTTAGTCGGGTTATAAAAAATCAATTATCAATACTGCCAAATTTCACAGGCCAACAAATCATGCTATCATGTGTAGACAGAAAACGCTCTTGTGGTGGACAAGATAAGTTATAAATCAAATGAGTATCATCGAAGGTCTAACATAATTCCTTTTTAGGTGACCGATGATGCAATCATGTGAGGTTGGAAAAAAATAAAACGGAACACGAAAATAAAGGAAAATATGAACGAAGGCAAGCTGAGTAAAATAGATGGAAGAAGAGGATAAAGCGATGAGGGAGCAAGTTTGGGTAATAAGTGACCGAAAAGTAAGGAGCGTCTATAGGGAAAATGAAAGAAACAAGAGGGAAAAACGGGATGATGAAGAGAAAAGCCTCAATAAGAAAAAAAGAGGGAAGCGAGGAGAGGGGAGACGAGGGTGAGCATGAAAACTGCGGACGTATGTGACAACTGCTCCGGACGCCGATCCATTACCCGCCTTCCGCAAGTTGGCGTGAATAGCAACGTCCGAGGTTTACGGAGGAGCGGATCATTGAAATTGATCCGGCAGATCAATCCGGAGGAGGCACATTGAGGGCGGCAATTGAATTAGGTTAGACCTTCGCTAATATTTCTCGTATATATATAACGCATTTTGTGCGGTACCAGTCTACCAATGAGGGCTTGTAGTTAGTAGACGCGTTGAAGGTAATTTGAGGATATGTGAGGTCCCCTGAGAGCATGTGAGGGCATGTTAGGTCACATGAGGGCAAGTGCTCACATGCCCTCACATGAGGCCATATGAGGCCATGCGAAGGCATATAATAATATATAATAATAATAGCGGTTTCAGCGTTTATTAGGCCGTAGGCCTGTCGCCGATTCTTAACATCGCAGAACATTTACAGCATTTTGCGGTCTCGAACTCACAACTCACTGCTACAATTCTGCTGCGCTTAACCGCCCGGCCCCCTTGCCGATTCTGACCTGAAACTAGCGCATAGAGCTGGGTTCGAACCCGCGCCTCTCTGCGCCAATCTTGGCACTCTGAACTGTAACCACTGGGCCACCCTGCTTAGTCTCTACAAAGTCTTCGGTATTAGTAAGGCCCAGACTTCAATACGTCCTTGGGCCCAGTCATTACTGGGTCCTTGGAATAAGTGTGGCCCGATATTTACTATGCCTTTGGTATTTGTATGGCACTTATACTTTGCCAAGTCTCTGGGGAAAATCTCATTCAGAGATGAAGAATATTTTTCATTTACATAAATCAACCAAAACAACATCCATTCTTATACTCGTACATAATTACCCATGCGTGAAGGTGCTATAGGGGCCAGCAGTTGTGATGGCCGAGCAGTTGTGATGGTCCGGCAGTTGTGATGGCCCAGCAGTTGTGATGGCCCAGCAGTTGTGATGGCCCAGCAGTTGTGATGGCCCAGCAGTTGTGATGGCCCAGCAGTTGTGATGGCCCTGCAGTTGTGATGGCCCAGCAGTTGTGACGGCCCAGCAGTTGTGATGGCCCAGCAGTTGTGATGGCCCAGCAGTTGTGATGGCCCAGCAGTTGTGATGGCCCAGCAGTTGTGATGGCCCAGCAGTTGTGATGGCCCAGCAGTTGTGATGGCCCAGCAGTTGTGATGGCCCAGCAGTTGTGATGGCCCAGCAGTTGTGATGGCCCAGCAGTTGTGATGGCCCAGCAGTTGTGANTCCCCTTCTCTTCCCCTTCTATTCCCCTTCTCTTCCCCTTCTCTTCCCGTTCTCTTCCCCTTCTATTCCCCTTCTCTACCCGTTCTCTTCCCCTTCTCTTCCCCTTCTCTTCCCGTTCTCTTCCCCTTCTATTCCCCTTCTCTTCCTATTTATTTCCCCTTCTCTTTCTCTTCTCTTCCCCTTCCCTTCCCCTTCTTTTCGCCTTCTCTTCCCCTTCTATTCCTCTTCTCTTCCCCTTCTCTTCCCCTTCTCTTCCCCTTCTCTTCCCCTTCTATTCCCCTTCTCTTTCTATTTATTTCCCCTTCTCTTTCTCTTCTCTTCTCTTCTCTTCCCTTCTCTTCCCCTTCTCTTCCCCTTCTATTCCCCTTCTCTTCCCTTTCTCTTCCCCTTCTCTTCCCCTTCTCTTCCCCTTCTCTTCCCCTTCTCTCCCCCTTCTCTTCCCCTTTCCTTCCTCTTTTCTTCCCCTTCTCTTCCCCTTTTCTTCCCCCTTCTCTTCTCTGTCTAGCTTTTAAACTTCACTACACAAAATTTTTCGACCTTCAAAATCGCAGTCATATCGCAATCCAAACTTTTCGCATCCTTCACCCGTTGCTCCTTGCATTTCTAACCCCCAATCAAATAAAATTTAATCGTCCCGCGTCCACGCAAAAGTTAAAAAAAAAATTCATAAAGGAAGAATTCAACAAAATTCGCTTGTTAGAACAAAAATTTTGTTGAAAAACTGCAAAAATCTACTGTGTCCCTGGCCAGAAAGTTATTAAAGGCTAACATTAAGAAAAAAAGACGGTTGTGTAAAATTTTATTAGCAAACCGGAAAGACTAGGAACACACGTGACGCTTTTTATCTGGAAAAATTAAATTCATTATATTCATATTCATTAACGTTTTCATTGTTCAGAGGCTCGAGACATCGCTCTTGTTTTCTTAAATCTGATGACCGAATCTTTCTTAGATCAACAGAATAAACTATACGGGGATTTACAAACTATAAAACCGCGACCCTATCGGAAAAATAAACGTTTAATGGAGAAAGCTTTGTGGCTGATGATGTGGCCGAGTTTTAAGTCTTTGTTCTTCCTTACATTAAAAAAGTTTTCTTTTTAGACATCTCTTGCAGACGTCAATTGACTTCATAAAAGAACTCAATAAAAGTCGTCTTTTTTCCAGCTCCCACACACACAAAACACACCCAAAAAAATAACAAAACATATCGAGGATTCACCTCCATTTGAGCAATGAACACAAATTACAAGTTTTAACACTATTCATAAAATATCCCTAATTTTATTTACAAAATTGTATGAAGACATTTCATGTCGCTCGATTACTTTGTTCGCAATATCGAAGGCTATAATTTGTATATTCATTACCTGAGACCATGCAGTTATTTTTAAAAAATGTATATAATTTTCGCATTAACTTTTCAAACTTTATTCTCAATTGTCACCGACAGCTCGTATATTATCTTCGAGACTCATTTGTATTAGATTCGATTCAAATTCTGTAAATGCGTTATGATTTGTGAATACATATATTTTTCATTTAATTTTCAGAACACAATTCAACATAACATTTCTCTTAGAGCAAAAACTTTAGTAGCTTCTTAACTGAAAATTTCTTATAATGTCTCTCATAATCTGATGGCCCGCTGTGTGCCGAGTTAAATAGCAAACTCCCCATTCAAGCTTCATAACAAACAAATTTACAACTCGAAAATATTTTCTTGGACTAGATTTTATTATTGAACCAACTCGAAATTGCCTTAATTATCTCTATGAGCGACAACATATTTGAACACTGCTACAACATTCTTGATTAGAGAAGAACTCTTTGAATTCGTAAAAAACTACATACGATTGGGTGAACATGAACAATTGCTTTTAAAATAATTATCTTGAGCTTAGCTTCAGTTAGTATGGCTTGAAACAATTTTAAAAAGTTCATACAGTATTTTCTTTAAATTTTTATCCATTATTCATTGCTGAACGTAAATAAAACAAAAAATTTTATTCATTTTTCGTTCACGAGTCACAAATACGCAGATATTTGCCGAGATTTCCGTTTCATCTCAAGTTCCACGCCAATATAATTAGAGAACACATAATAAGCTGGTGAACTTTACTCCAGTCCGCACTATACCAGTTAGACCAAATTTTCTACCCACGCTGGCAGCTCGGAAGTTTTTTTTCTGTCAAAACTCTCAGTTGGGAAAAAATTTCCAGTCCACTCACCCAGCTGAGGAAAAATGTTCCAGTCTACACCTTCTACTTTGGATCATTTATCCAGTCCAATTCTCAAGTGGTTTGTCCCCCAGTGAAATTCAGTCCTCCGGATGGATAAAACGAAGGAGCGGCCATCATTTGAGAGAAATTTGAGCCATTTTCATCCAAACCGTGCGGTTGTCCCAAAACTTGGTTGCTATAAAAAGATCCTTGGTAGGGTTGACTGTAGGACACCGTTGGGTGGAAGTTCGATGTGAAGCTCGAATGGTTGAACCCAGCGTGAGACTGAGAACCACGAGCCTGGTTCGAGCACTCCATGGACTGGTGGGAATATTCCAAGAACTGGGAATAATTCCCGACGTTTTGAACGGGCCCCAGCGACCCGTTGAGTCCCGACGATGAGTTGAGTCCCGCTGACCCACCGATTCCAGATGGCCCGTTGACGCCCGTTGACCCGTTTATTGCAGACGTACCGTTCATGGAGGTATTTTGAGTGGGATGGAGACCGGACACGGACGGGTTAACTGGCTGACCGTCCCGTACGAGCACGGGCACGGGAACTCGTCTTGGAGACGTCATGTGTGATAACGGGCCCATCATTCCCCCTAAACATGGCCCGTTAGAGTCCGTTCTTTGTTTCTTTGTTTTGTAGCGGTGGTTTTGGAACCATATCTTTACCTGTCAAATTCAAAGGTAAAAATTATATCAAATGCTGGTGATTCCAATTGAAAATCAATGCAAAACAGTCGAGAAGAACCCAAACAATAAAAAAATTCAATGCAGCTAACAATATGAGCTGAGAAAATTTTGTCGATTTCAAACTTGTATTCAATTTTTATAGATTTTTAAAAAACCATAAGCTGACCATAACAATTTTCGAAATTAATGTTTTGCACTCTATTAGTATTATTCCACAGAAAAATCACTTGAAGACCGCTAATTTCATTCAGTTCATTGATGGTACACATAAGATCTAATCAAATATTATATAATGTAATTGAAAGTAAATAGCATCATTAATGTGAATTGATGGTATGAGCATGTACACTCAAAAAATGAGTGAAACTGCGTCCTAATACAGATTATAGGTTTGTTTCTGTGTAGATAATCGTGACCCAGTTTTGCTCGGCAAATGGAAGCATCAGCACCATGTGCAGCACGTGTATCGCGTGTTGGACAATAGTATCCATTCATTTTCTGGGTGTAAATATCTGCCATTTGATAACTGTGTATGCTAGTGAATGTGGGGGTGAGGGGGGGGGGGGCTTATAGGAGGTGAGGGTAATGAGGGGATGAAGGGGTGAGGGAGACTTATGGGAGGTGAGGGTAGTGAGGGGGTTAAGGGGTGAGGGAGTTACCTGTGTGGGGGTGAGGCTAATTAGCGCTGCTAGGTGCTCCCGCTCGGGCGCCGACAGGTAGCGCTGCTGTCGGAACCTGCACGCCAATTTGCATATCAAAATGAAAATTGATTTACTACGAAATTTATGAAATTCGAAGTCATCAATACAAACAAAATTATTCAAGACAATCAAAAACTGTTCGAAAGTTACGCCTGCCCTGACTTTTGAATGCACTAAGCCTGATCTATTGTCCTGGACTTGGCTCCTCTACATTAACTTCACTATGAATATATCAGGATTAAAGTAATATATAGTTCCAGTGTAACAATCTAGTTACAGCTGCCTAACAATCAACCTCAACTAAAATATTTTTACGGTTTCATTTGACGCTGCAGAATTTTCGAAGCGATACTGCAAGTTACGGTATAGGTAAAGTTTTAATTATGCAAATTTTGTAAATGCAAACGTAGAATTTATAACAGCTCCATACCAATTTGAGTGCGTCTTACTAATCACATATAAATTATGTTGTGTCGTCATTATGATGTAATAATGGTGTAAACTTCTAACTCCCACAGGACAGTGCCAGCCATTGTTCCGTTACTTAATTTTGTTGTATATACAAAAATTTTAAAAGCAAAGAAAACGTCAAGTAAATTTTATCATGTCGTCATTGATCACGTATTGTAGTCTCTGTTTTAGCACAGAATTTTTGTTATCGCTTCTTCACGCTCTGACTTTCACTGTCAGTCACTCCGCATCTGTCACGAGTCATCGAATGGACGTAATATTAATTCATATTCACTATCGTATTTAAATATTCCATAATTCACTACTTGACGAATACCATATTTTAGTTGATGGACCGGCCAGCTTATTGTCGACCGACCAGTGGGGATTTCGGTCGATGGATCGCAATTTAGACATAAGCGTCAAATCGAATATTGGTAATTCTCAAATGCAAATCAGATAAATGTAAGTGTCATACTCGATTTGTATATATTATTTTCTATAGGTTCTTTACGTTGATATATATCACCTCCTCTCGAGCTCGTTGGTCTGTGCCTTGCTGAAGAGGATCCGGCGCTTGCGTTTCTTGCTCGGCGGGTCCGCGTCGCCGTCCGCTGCTTCTTCTGCCTCGCCGTCCGACAGCGCGTCTGTCCGCACAATAATTAATATTGAATATATTGCCCATGAATATTATGCAATTAATATTATTAACATTAACGTCTGTCCGCACATTAATTAAAATTCAATATATTGCCATGAATATAATGCAATTAATATTATTAACATCGGTACCATGATATTCAGCACTGGTCTTATCTAATGTAAGTGGACTGACAATAAGTGTTCAACACATATTTTCCCGAATCCCTTCATGAGGCGAAATGTGAGTATTTTACTCGTACGTAGCACTAGTTTTACTAGAAAATGTGTATTAAGCTCTAAATTTCAGCATGATTTGATTTTTTAGTATTTTGTTTAATTAGTGCGGTGCTTGCGGCAACAGTGCAACGCGGCAAGCTCATAACAGTGCAACGACATTGTTTGTTGCTTCTAGCATTGCTGAAGGAAATATTATTTTATTCATAATTGTTAAGATTGATATCGATAATATCACAATAATATATTTCTATGAGTCTACTTTCTACTTTGTTTATTATTATCCATTTGTAGCTGGTAAGTCTTCTACCAAACATCTGTCGCATTAACAATTAATAGCTATTAATAAACCCCATACAGCACTATATCGGGGAATTTCATGGGATTGCTAAAGTAAAATATTATGTCTACATAATGTAACTTACGCAAATAATATAGCTAATAATGTATTTTAAATAATTATCTACGTAGATTAATGCGAAGCCTATTATTACCTCTTCATCGCGTAAAAAGGACATGTATATAGGGTTAATCGTTTCTGATGATATACCTACTAGAGTATCGGGATATAGACGGTCCTTACAAAGATCAAACTAACAGCTATATTTCTTTACAATTAAATATATTACGAGTACAATAAATAAAGACTAACAACAATAGGTAAGAGAGGCTTATTAATTACTTAAATGGGTTTTTCAACTCAAACATACCCTCCAACTTGGATTGAGTTGAGTCTGGTTGCGAATGTTGTTGATGCTCAGGGGACGTCTTCGGATCAAGATATGTCATAGGTCTATGTTGTTCACCGTCCCTATGTTGATCTACCACTGAACTATTAGCATGGTACTGGCCTACATAGTTGTAAGCTGGTAAATGGTGCGATGGTTTACTACTCAGATGGTTACTACCACTCCTGAACAGCTGGTCGTGATACGATTGGTAGGTTGAATCGTAGGTTGGAAATGGGTTGGGTTGAGGTAATAGGTTCTCTTGGTGTGGTAGAGAGAGGTTAGGAGATGTGATGTGAGCTGGGTTAGGTAGAGAGTGCTGATGTATTTGATGTGGTTGGGTGGTTGAAATTTGGTTGGATATTTGGGTGTAGTTTGGCAGGTTGGACTGCAGGTTGAGATTTGGTTGAGTTGAAGTAAGCATTGAAGCCTGGTGAAGCGGGCGCGATTCACCTGTAGAAGGACTGCAGCCTGCGTGGCAGATGTACTTAGGTTAGTGAATAATTCATTGATTTATCACAATGCAATCGAATTAATAGAATTTTTAATCCAGTAATAAAAAACCTTTGAAATTTATCGTCGAATCAAATAACTATCATTTGAAAATATTTGTTCATTTGTTCATATAAATTAATCATCCCTACTTTCTAGTGGCTTATAATTGATGAAAAAAGGATTCTTAATTCTGGCTATCCTACTCCAGTAATAAGCATCGTGGTTAAATCAATGAATTCATGGTTAACAAACCCGAGTCTAAATACTTATAGAAGTCTTCCACCAAACCGAGCTTCAATAAAATACGCATTTCAAGTGTGGTCGTCCTATTGTAATTCAATAATATCTCAAATGCCTAATATTTGGATAAGAAGATAGTAACTTGTATTAACACAACGCATACTCTGAACAAACCTGGGCTGGGGTCAATGGGTACGCCGACCGAAGAACCAATTCCTGTCTCGACGTTCCGAAAATTTGCACTTGAACTGAAAAAAAGCTCGTTTTGATACGCAGTTTCTCCTGGCTTGACGTCGCTTGCATATAACGAAGATCTGAGTAGACTTGAGGGTAGACTGGAAGTAGATATTGTAGGAGGATCGCTGACGGAAGGAGTAGACGGGACAGACTGTGGTTGAAAAGTTGGGGTGAAAGTAGTTGAGGTGAGTGTGGGAGAGTAAGAAGAAAGAAGGTCTGACTTGGAGAAGGAGATTGAAGAAGGGCACGATGAAGGCGTTAGTGGATTTAAAGGTGAAGTCGAGGATTGAATGGATTGAAGGGGGGAAGGGAAAGGAATTTGCAAAGGTGAGAAGCTGGGATCTGACGTAGGTACGGCCACCGGTCGGCAATCTGGGGAAGCAGAGTTTTGTTAAAGAATCTCTTGATTTTCAGTGTATATTTACATTTTTACAAGAGATTTTTATCTCTTGTAAAACAATTAAACTTTCAGGCATTTACCAATGATCTAGATACTCTAATATTCAATCTTACGATAATACAATAAAGGGTACACTAAAACGAATAACCTGGTCAAGTCATATCATTGGAAGGGTAACTACAAATAAGCTGAAGAAGTATCAGGAGATATTTAAATAAAGGACAAGGGTACTGAAGACGTCTGGAAACCAAAAAGATCGAAGCAAATCGATTCAGTAAAGTTAATACTTCCTTCCTTGCTAAATCATTTCCATGCGCTAACTACTTAAAATTGTGGTTAAGACCATGCAAGCATTCAGAGAAATCAGTGAGAAATTGTCCAAACAGCTAAGCACTTATGCCCTTGTGTGGGTCACCTTGATTCAGTTTTCCCGATAAAAGAACGTATCAGTGCTACATGGAGAAATTGAGTCACGATTTGGACAATATGACTCGTTAATTTTTTTTAATATGTATAAATTCAGCTTATAAGGAAAGGCCGCAGAAGCCACTAATTTCGTACAATTATTAATTTACGTACAAGAAAAAGCCCAAAATATGGCAAACTATTCCAAATGCAGCCAAAATCAGAAAAAAATGGCTGAACTCAATTTTTATCTATTTCAAAATGTTTTCATTCATCATTATCAGAAATTGAATGACATGGAGAAAAATAATCCAGTTATTGTTTTTTATTGAATGCGACAAATTCCTTGTTTAACTTTCATGCATCCCAAAAACCCAAAACAAAGGTAAAATTTCGAGCCTTGGCAATAAATGTTGTTAGAGAAGTGATCGGAAAATTCGAACGAATATAGGTAAAAAAAAATCCGATTTGGTGAAATTATATATCACCGCATATCCCATATTGTGTACTTCATTGTATCATCTAATTCTCTATCTTCGGTCTGTTTCAACAGACCGAAGTCTGTTGAAACAGACTGTTGTTGTTCTTCGGTCTCACTTTTATTCAACATATCGACGATATAGTAAAGATAAGAGATAACGCAACGCTAAATATTCGCTTCATTTCGAATTAATTCAAATACAAATTCCTTCAGAATTAAAACGTCACTTAAATTATGCAATATCATTCAGCAAAGTGTCTTTTCAGTGACACGTTCATTCACTTCATTCTTTATCCTGCCCTAGAGAATGTATATCAATATAAATATCAATATTATTAACTAATAATAGTGATAATAAATACCAATATTATTATTAATATTCAGCAAAAATATTGATAAACAAAAATTAGTTCAAAACACATTGCCTTTTTGCCTCATCTACTACATGATCTTCATTGCCTTATTTCTTCTATATTATCCCGCAAAAATAAACCAAACTCAGGATAAACTATGAAACAAAAAAATCCGCGCTGTTTGTAGCTTATGTTTTAAGTGTAGGAATATTTCAGTGTCCCTCAGTTCCGTCTCGTAGGATATCTTCATCAGAGGACCGAGGACATCCTTCCCTTCTCAACAAAAAGAGAAAGCAATAATATAAAAAAGACGCAGCCCCTCGGTCGGAAAAGACAATTTTGTCGCATGCAGGTCTGTACGTTTCCCTCGGGCGACCCTCATTAAGTAAAAAAGCGTCTTCCCTTTAGCGACTTTATGACCTGGAATTAACTGACCCTCATCCGACACCGGTATTTATTGCGAGGGTCGCATCCTGCGCGCCCGGCCTGACTGTCGTCTGCTGTCTGTACTGTTTGTACTGTCTGTACTGTCTGTACTGTCTGTACTGTCTGTACTGTCTGTACTGTCTGTACCGTCTGTACTGTCTGTACTGTCTGTACTGTCTGCACTGTCTGTACTGTCTGTACTGTCTTTACTGTCTTTACTGTCTTTACTGTCTTTACTGTCTGTACTGGCTGTATACTGTCTGTATAATGCCAGTATACTGTCTGCTATGTACTGTCTGTTGTATACTGTCTGCTGTATACTGTCTGCTGGCTGTGGTCTGCAGTCTGATGTCTGACACTCACTGTTTGCTAAATGTTCATCAAGTTTGGCTTCTTACTCTGTATGGTCTTCTGTTTGCTGTCTTCCTTCAGTTTCTTGTCTATATTACTGTTTCCGGGCTACTGTTAACAACCTACTGTCTACTTGTTATTGTCTGCCGTCAACTATCTGCTGTGTACTGTGATTTACTGTTAACATTTCACTCTATACTGTATACATTGGAACAAGTCATTGCTTACTGTACAACAAAAACGGTTTATTGTTTACTATTTTTTCACAGATGTCAAGAATAATTGCTCAATGTCTGTGTTCTGCAGTGGCGTGTATAATGTTATTATGCCAGTTGTATACCGTCTACTGTCTGCTGTACCGTCCACTGTCTGCTGTACCGTCTACTGTCTGCTGTACCGTCTACTGTCTGCTGTACCGTCTACTGTCTGCTGTACCGTCTACTGGCTGCTGTACCGTCTACTGTCTGCTGTACCGTCTACTGTCTGCTGTACCGTCTACTGTCTGATGTACCGTCTACTGCCTGATGTACCGTCTACTGTCTGCTGTACCGTCTACTACCTGATGTACCGTCTACTGCCTGATGTACCGTCTACTGCCTGATGTACCGTCTACTGTCTGATGTACCGTCTACTGTCTGATGTACCGTCTACTGTCTGCTGTACCGTCTACTACCTGATGTACCGTCTACTGCCTGATGTACCGTCTACTGCCTGATGTACCGTCTACTGCCTGATGTACTGTCTACTACTGTCTGCTGTAGTTTGCTTGTCGTATTATGGCGGTTGGATGCTGCGTCCTGGTTTCTTTATGCATGCATATCTTATTTTTATGTTAGATTATCTATGTACATTCTACGGTGCAATTATCTGCTTTACTACACATTACAGAAATGTTACCCTGTTACTCGAGTAATAACAAACAATTACCCAACGTATATTCAATGTATGAGATGTATATACAGGACGTAAAAATACAATTTATACATGCGCACGAAAATATAATATCCCACCATGCACATGTGATTCGTTATTTCCGGTGCTGCGACACACTCGCCACACATTTACTTCAGTCTCCACTAACAAATTTTCTGTGTGTAGAAGAGCTTGAGGAAAAATCTACGGAATTTGTTACTCATGTTTGGTTTAAATGAGTGGCTTATGCAATTTTTCCCTAACTTGTCCAGAGTCGCGACTGCTCTGCAGAGTCAGCATTAGTTGTTTGTGAAGTCTCAAACTAATAATCCTTAGTTTACACATTAATTATTTAGCAGAGGGGAGAGCAAAGCTACAGTTGCTAGAGAAAGGTAAATTGGATATAAAGTATATGGATTTATCTATTCGAATTATTAAAACTCTTCGTTCACGTTGAATTGTTCATGAAGTTTCATCAATACCCGAAATTGAAGCCCAGTTTTTAGATATGTCATATATTTCAAAATTTTAAACTCGTGTTATGTTGAAGTCCTTTGCGCTCAACGTACGGCGAAACTTTAGAGAAAGTATCCTGGAGGCAACGAATATTGCTTCTGAGTTTTAATTATTATTACGAGTATTACGCAATAAATATAAATATCTCGATTAAGCATGAATATTACGCATTAACTTGGAATATCACGTATTAAGGATGAATATTATGTCTGAATTGCACCTGAAATTTTGTAGGCAATAAGTTCATAATAGCAATAAGTCTGGTGAATGTCAGTAGAAAATGATATTAATTATCAAGTAACTAATAATAGTGATTTAATACTAATTACAATGGAAGTGAATTAGTTTCAAGTCCGGTACCTGTACAAATGAGTGGGTTCAAAATAAGGTAAATATAGAAAATAACAAATATTGACACCGGGTGATATCAAGACTGATTTGAGCAAGTTTTGAAGCATATTAGTTCTGATAAACGATGAATAAATATAAAAATCTATATTTATTGCGTATGTTCAATGCTAATTGGCCTTTTGATAAATAATTATAACATAAAATAGAGCTGATGAACATCAAACCTGATAAACTTCAAGTCTGATAAACTGCTAGTGAACGTCAAAGCCTGATAAACGTCAAACCTGATAAACGTCAAGCCTGATAAACATCAAGCCTGACAAACATCAAGCCTGATAAACATCAAGCCTGATAAACATCAAGCCTGATAAACATCAAGCCTGATAACCGTCAAGCCTGATAAACATCAAGCCTGTTAAACATCAAGCCTGATAATCATCATGCCCAAGTAAAGAAATAATTAACATGCATACGAACCACTGGACGCTGCCGACGAGCCGTCACTGCCAGACGTAAGACAGGACGCTGGGCTGGTTCTGTTGAAAACTTCTGTTGTGTTGTGGTTCCTGTTGTTGATTCTACTGTTGGTGTCGTACACTTCTGTTGTGGTGTTGTTCCTGTTGTTGATTCTGCTGTGAGTGTCGTCACCGTTTTCGGCTTTACTGACCTCAAAGTTGGGGTCAACACAACTCGAGTTCTCATTCAAGTTTAATTCACTTTGAACTTCGGTTTTCACGATGGATTTGGACCACAAATCCGGTGTGACTGCAGAGAAGTTATCATAAAAGCTTCCGTATTTATCACCTTGAGTTTCTAGAAGTTTTATATCCAACTTATTGTCTTTTAATTCAGAAAATATAATGTTTTTCAGAGGGTCTGAACATTCAATAAAGTTTTCTTTGAGGAATTCGGGAGTTTGTGTCGCCTCTATTTTGACTTGGACGTCGGGGGCAGCGAGCTCCGCGGGGACGATCAGAGCAGCGTCAGAGCTGGTGCAGAGCAGCTCTGAGTCTGTGTAGGCGCCATGTCTGCACATCACAATTATGTCAACTGCGACAATAACAATGCTAGCAACAACAACAATGCTAGGAATACCCTTCCGTAATCTTCTTGATATGGCTACAATACAATAGATCGTATTTAAAAATTAATCATTCGCAGAAAAAAAATTAACATGTAAAAAATTTCTTCTCGTGAGAATCTTCACTGAAAATATTGTAATTATTCTGCAATTGCCACACCAATTAATTTTAGATAAAAATCTCCTTATAGGAACTTAGTATTGCCAACTGTCATCACTGGCAACCAATCACAATAACCGACGTTAGCTCCATGTTAACAATCATTATTAGACAATCATTAGCACATGTCTATGTCTAAAATTGTCAGATCGAAATATTAAAGCGAGATGAGAATAACCAAAAATATTTACAATTTTCAATCTCCATTATCTATACTCATTCAGTTCTATAATTTATATTGAATGTTGCTAAGGAGAAATGAACCAAAATGAACCAATTAGTTCATTCTTGCCAACATCATCGAAGTTCCTTGAAACAATAACTTGGCGAAAAGTTTCTCCTAAATTTTGAAGAACTTTTAGAAAATGAAATTGTGGTCGGTCGCTCAACCATACATTTTTGGGATCAAGTCGAATTGAAAAAAAATAGTGTAAAATATATTATATTTATGTTGATAGGCCTTTTGTGCACGGCATTAAAAGTACTGATCGAATTGTAAAAATGGGCACAACTTGATCATAGGTTGTGCACGCCTGTCATGTTGATGTGTTGCTGGTATGTCAACCAACATACACGCACCTGCCATGTTGATGTGTTGCTGGTATATCAACATCTACGCACCTGTCATGTTGATGTGTTGCTGGTATATCAACATCTACGCACCTGTCATGTTGATGTGTTGCTGGTATATCAACATACACGCACCTGTCATGTTGATGTGGTGTTGCTGGTATATCAACATCTTCTACATACCTGTCATGTTGATGTGGTGCTGGTATATCAACATCTACACCCCTGCCATGTTGATGTGGTGTTGCTGGTATGTCAACATTCACGCACCTGTCATGTTGATGTGGTGTTGGTATGTCAACATACACGCACCTGTCATGTTGAGGGGAAAGTTGAGGTGAACTCAGCAGGTTAGTCCAGCCTTGGTCTTGCCCAGGGCTGGCATGTACACTTTTCTGTACACTGAACGAACTGTTCTCACCTCCACTGTACATTACACGACCAACTAATGCTCCACAATTAGAGCATTAATCTAACAAGCGATTAACTAATATTCATTCCAACTTAATTAAAAGTAAATGAACAAGAGTTAATGATGTTCTTGAATAAGACGATAATTTCCATCATGCTTCATCAATAAATTAACATCATGTCAATCCGTGGCAAATATCATCATTAATTTGTCATCACTAATTTTAATTTAATCACTTGAGCATCTCGCTAAAATTTATGACACTTTTCCATCACGCGAGTTCACACATGAATGTTTTGATAGTGTGTTTAGAATGATCAATTCAACACGAGCGAAAAACTGCTAGACTCGTCAGGCCTTAAATCTCACTTTATTTTGCAAGAAAATTCATTTATTATTATTTTTATTTTTTTTAAACAGCGGTAGAAAATACTGCCAAATTCCTGAGCCTGCTAATTATTGTTCATATTGAAACATAAAAATATCTCTCAAGGTTGATGAGTAGCAACTTTTGGATATAAATGTATGAATACACAATAAATTTTTGAGCAAATTAAAGATGAGATGGAGAGCACGCAGCTGGTACAGCCCCTGGGTACACTGTGAGCCGCTGCCGTCAGCCTGATCTCAGAGGCAGTATCTCTGTTATCTGGTCTATTGGAGGCCTTATCTCTGCCTTATCTCTGGCACTATGAGCCCTAGAGTTCGGCTCTGATCTCAATACTACATTCAAGGATCGTTACAGATCTGCGATCGGCAATACAGGATCACGACGATTGCCCAACTCTAGATAAAACAGCCGCCCAGACCTCTTTAAAATATAATGGATAATAGAAGTTTTTTAAAGCTGTTTTACGTGATTAAGTTGATGATAATGCTGATGTTTTTTTAAAGGGTTCAAACTGTTTCATTTGAACTTTTTGATGACTATTAAGCCATTATTGTCTTTACTAAAACACTTGACAAGTCTTGAAATTTTTAGTGTTACTGTGAACGCTTGTAATGTTTTTTGAGACTATATAACATTTATTTCCGATGACTCTCAGCTTATTACAAAACCGTTTCAAATCTACATTACGAATGAGCTTGATCATACAACAAAAGTTTAAATGATATTTTTCAAATATAATTTAAGTGCAAACCTTGGCAATATACAAACTCTCACAAAACGCCTAGATATGTCAAAATTATCAACGAGCCCCAAAAAATATACGCTATATATCTTTTAATTTGTGTTTTTGTTTAAAATACTCAAGGAACAATATGCAGAAACCAGTTTATTTTATTTCCAATATCATCGCCTACGAACCATGAATTTCATTTTTTTAATCAACCGCATTGAAAGTAATAATTAATATTGAATATACTACCATTTTTCCTATTCTGTTTTACTTTTCATGTTGTGCATTTGCTATTCACTGCATTTTTATAATGAGACAAAAGTTTTGTATTCATCTCCTTGTAACATTTGTTCAAAAAATTTGAATAGGAAAACATTCGAACTTTTAGCGCATTTTCTCATTTATGGAAAAAAGGCGCTATTGTGCTCGTCATGTCCGTCTGTCTGTCCGTCCGTGACCACGCTTTAGTCGACGAGAAAATGCGCTCTCTGTCACTCACTGCAGTGAGTACTGAGTTATATTTTTTTTCTTGCTCGTGACGAATTGCGCGTGGCGCCATAGAAGCTAGAGGCGCGTGTGGCGCGTATGGCGCGTGTGGCGCGTGTGGCGCGTATGGCGCGTGTGGCGCGTGTGGCGCGTATGGCGCGTGTGGCGCGTGTGGCGCGTGAGGCGTGTGTGGCGCGTATGGCGCGTGTGGCGCGTGTGGCGCGTGTGGCGCGTGAGGCGTGTGTGGCGCGTATGGCGCGTGTGGCGCGTGTGGCGCGTGTGGCGCGTGTGGCGCGTGTGGCGCGTGTGGCGCGTGTGGCGCGTGAGGCGCGTGTGGCGCGTATGGCGCGTGTGGCGCGTGTGGCGCGTGTGGCGCGTGTGGCGCGTGTGGCGCGTGAGGCGTGTGTGGCGCGTATGGCGCGTGTGGCGCGTGTGGCGCGTGTGGCGCGTGTGGCGCGTGTGGCGCGTGAGGCGTGTGTGGCGCGTATGGCGCGTGTGGCGCGTGTGGCGCGTGTGGCGCGTGTGGCGCGTGTGGCGCGTGAGGCGTGTGTGGCGCGTATGGCGCGTGTGGCGCGTGTGGCGCGTGTGGCGCGTGTGGCGCGTGTGGCGCGTGAGGCGCGTGTGGCGCGTATGGCGCGTGTGGCGCGTGTGGCGCGTGTGGCGCGTGTGGCGCGTGTGGCGCGTGAGGCGCGTGTGGCGCGTATGGCGCGTGTGGCGCGTGTGGCGCGTGTGGCGCGTGTGGCGCGTGAGGCGCGTGTGGCGCGTATGGCGCGTGTGGCGCGTGTGGCGCGTGTGGCGCGTGTGGCGCGTGAGGCGCATGAAGCGCGTGTGGCGCGTGAGGTGCGTGTGGCGCGTGTGGCGCGTGTGGAGGACGTGCATAGAAGCAGTGATCCTTCAGGACTTAAGCACATGTGCTTAGGAGTGCAAGTGCTGGTGCTCGTAACTGTACAAGTCTGCACTCATGTGCTATCTGACCAGCACACGCGATATGCAGTGCCCTTATGGCGATGGACATGACGAGCCATGACAATCAAACATGACAAGCAAAAACAATTAAACATGACATGCAACAACAATCCAACATGACAAGCAACAGCAATCCAACATGACAAGCAACGACAAGCAACAACAATCCAACATGACAAGCAACAACAATACAACATGACAAGCAACAACAATCAAACATGACAAGCAACAACAATCAAACATGACAAGCAACAACAATCAAACATGACAAGCAACAACAATCAAAATGACAAGCAACAACAATCAAACATGACAAGCAACAGCAATCCAACATGACAAGCAACGACAAGCAACAACAATCAAACATGACCAGCAAGAACAATAAACATGACAGGCAACAACAACCATAGTCAATTTAACCGAAAATGACGACCAACACGATAAATGTCCGTGAAAATGTCGATGTTGATCGCTACTGTGCGAGATTATCACGATAACTTCAAGTGTTTATTGATCACGAGAGCCTATCGCGGCGTCGGCTCCAATGATCGCCATTTATCATGTCCAGGACGTGCAAGGGAATTTCTTTATGATAAATAGACATAAAAATTATCTTACTAGATGTTCTGCTTATCTTGATTGCTTATGTTGCGACAGTGATAGTATTTTCTAGATGTACTATTTATTTCGATTGTGTTATGTGATTAGTTATTCAATTTGAAATATTGACAAGCTTTGATATTCCTTGAATTTTTCAATCTTGATTTGCTTTTTATTTTATGACGTGACTGTCTACGTAACGTCGCATCAGTTACAACTTCAACGTTTCATATACAGCGTAATGTATAGCGTTGTATATTGCCTTGCGTATAGCGGAATGTACAGTGACGTGGCTCCTTCATTGTCACGTCAGTCACGACGTACGACGTTTCCATGCTACGTCGCCATGTCAGTCACGACGTTCTCATGCTACGTCGCCATGTCAGTCACGACGTTCTCATGCTACGTCGCCATGTCAGTCACGACGTTCTCATGCTACGTCGCCATGTCAGTCACGACGTTCTCATGCTACGTCGCCATGTCAGTCACGACGTTCTAATGCTACGTCGCCCTGTCAGTCACTACATTCCCATGCTACGTCGCCATGTCAGTCACGACGTTCTCATGCTACGTCGCCATGTCAGTCACTACATTCTCATGCTACGTCGCCATGTCAGTCACTACATTCCCATGCTACGTCGCCATGCTGTCTCTTATACACATCTAGATGTGTATAAGAGACAGGTTTAGAGGTTCTGGATTTGCTCAGCTGAAATTCTCAGAGTTTGGTGTGTTTGATGTTGTCGGTCCAGAGGTTCTGGATTTGCCCAGCAGAGGTTCTCAGAGTTTGGTGTGTTTGATGTTGTCGGTCCAGAGGTTCTGGATGGTCATAGACTCGAGGCTGTTAAGGAAGGAGTCGTTGTCGAGGCTGATGACATCGTCCGAGCAGCCCTGCAATAAAACTTCCATCAAAACCAAGAACTTTTGAGTGAAATGGGAACTTGCATTTCTACTCAACTTAGAATTCACAGTTAAAGGGATTGAAATTGAAATAAATAAATTGCTTATTTTATTTTTCATGTTAAGATGATAATTAGAAAAAAGGAAGATAATGAATAGATTAAATTAAAATCCACAAAATAAAAGGTCATGAAGCAAGCAAAAAATAATAAAGCGTTCAATTTTTAATTATTGTGCACTGAATTGGGGTACTCCAGCCATTAAAAAATCTTGTTCAATTAGCCTATGAAAGAAAAATAATTAATAAAGTTTCAATAACTAACAAAAGCCACAAACAATGATCACGATAGGTAGCGGAATGACTACAAATTAATAATTTCTCTAAATTATCCATGATTAAAAATTATTTTTACTAACTTCAATGAATTACTTGAAATACATTGAAAAGAAGATTATGTTTGCATTCCTGGCCACTGGTCAATATCAATATTCGTAACAGATACAAAATTAAGGTCCTGAATTCAAACTACTAAATAATATATTTTGAGATAAATATTCCAATCAGTTTTAACATATGATGAAGTACGGGTCACCAACAGTCGTCCAGAAGTCAAAGTCACTTTCGATTTGAAAAAATCAGCGCCTACAAGGTTTTTTTTAACAAGCCGAACCGTTTGGGTGTATGTACATTTTACAAAAGATACACCGATGAAGTACAACGTACACTTGAGGCTAGCAATCAACAGTGGCTGACTCAGAGCAAGATTGTACTACGCAAGCGTAGCAAAGTATGGGCCCATCGCCAGTTTTAGCCAAGCTATACGCAATACTACAGAGCGGCTTACGCATGAGATTACGCTGCGCTATACTTCGTTTTCATGAGCAAGTGATACAAATACGAGCACACGAGGACCTATTAATTATTATACAGGCGTACAAATGTTCGAGCTGAGTCAGGGGCTACTTGCGTGGCGGCCGATGAGGCATTAAAAAATAATAAAATACCGAGCTGTTAGTAATTATGCCTCAACTAAATTACTGCAACTGTGGCAAATGTGTGCAGACTACCTTATTGAAAACTCAAGGCGGATTATTGGTGGCCGCATGAATGTCAGTTGCCAATAATTTGCCATGGTTTTCAAGAAAGGTCAACACAAAGCTCGCCCACCTGGTCTCGCTAAGGACACGATGTTCATGGCGTAGTTTTGAACGTCTTAATCGACGTTACTCCGAGCTTTGCATCTTTTACCGAGCTTTTGATCGCGTCAAATTTTCCAGCGCCCGCTTCTAGACTTGTAGTTTTGACGACATTTTTGGGAACCTCTGATTCAGCAGCGGAAGTTTCGAAACGTTTAAGGATATGAGATGTTTTCGGTGAGTTTTTCAGTGCGCCAAAAGGAAAATTTTTAGATTCTGGACGACGTAAATAAATGAAAGATTTTTCAGCTCTTGCATTTCCTTCTGCGGTTTCACGATCGCTTGATTTTTCGAGGACGGCACCTTGACTGCCACGACATTCGTGCGGATCGTTATCGACACTACGGAAAATGTTTTCCGAGTCTTCAGCCTCCTTTTCGGCGCTCGTAGCGATGTTTTCAACGACTTTGCAAGCAGTTTTGACATCTTTAGTCACGTTTTTAACGTCAATTGAACATTTCTCGTCTGTCGTAGGACTGTTACCTTCTTTGAAAATGCTTCTGACGTTCGAGGAAACGTTTTCAACGTCTTTGGCTAGTTTAGAAGCTTTCATACCAGAGTATTTAGACTGTTTGATAGCTTCTGCGTCGGCGCGTCTACCAGAGACGACGTCAGCGACGACGCTTCGTCTACTCACAGCGACTACATCGTCCCGTACGTCACTCATGCGAATGACGTCACTCGCACAGAAATCAAAGTCGTATTCCGGAACATGAATAACGCTTTCAACGTCATGGTCGTTCTTCACAACATTTTTCGTAGGGACGCTTGTGTTCTCTTCGTCTATTTTACGTAACGGAAAAACGTTATGAATGTTAGCCTTGAAGTTAACTTCTTTAAAGGCTCGACCTAAATTGTTGACAGAAGCCATAACCCGCCCGGCCGAAAGTCGGCTTTTAGATTTCGAAAAGAATTCCGTTGTAGGCGCGTAAACAACGCGCGGTGTACTCATTGGCCGATTCTTCTGGCCAATTGCAGCCCTGCAATGTGATATAAAAGGCGGATCTGCGCAATCATCGTCTCTGAGGTTTACGGAATCCAAAGACGGAACAGCGGAGAGGGTGAAAACTGCGGAGGCGCAGCTGCTTGAGGGCGAATCGCAGCGCCGGGTGATTGTCCGTGAAGGTGAATTCTGAAGACAATCACCATCGCACATGGCAATTATTTTCGCACGTGCTTTGAGGTATCAACAAAATTATTTCGCACCCTATAACAAAGGCCCAAGAAACTGTTGATCACACGATGTTAATTCCCAAACCTCAAACGCATATTTCATCGTTTACGAATGGTAATAAGCAACGCTTAGGTTATCTGTATTAAAGGCGTGTTACATCGTAGCGGTTAAATAAATGGATAATTATAACTGCTTGTTTAATCTTCCACTAATTAATATTTCACATCATTATTTTGATGTTAAAAGCAGGAGAACAACATATACGGTTAAGGTTAATCACGGTTTGGGTTCAGCCACACAACACCAACGTGTATGTCTGTCATATAATAATTAATTATCATTTAGTGGGGGCCGATATATTGTTCAGATTAATTACTATTTCACAGCCCAGAATGCGCTCCAGTTAGCCGCGCATAAAAATGAAAAAGCAAAAAAAAATTCTTTCATGGAGTTGGCAAAATAAAATTGAATTAAATGCGTTTACAGATCGATCCGTCGCCTTATCAATGCTGATATCATATCAAAATAGTGACATTGTAATGTCACTTTCATTTCTATACGTCATAACAAAATAGTGACATTGTCCGCACGTAGCACTGATACGCAATCTTTGGCGGGCCAAAATGGGTCAGGATGACCCACTCAAGGGCAAGAAGTGCATCGCTATTTGGATAAATCTCACTAATTTCTATTTACAATTGGACGACGCGGGCCCATACAATATTGGGGATAGCATAATTTACACGAACAAACTATCCGCGAGATTTTTATACGTAGAAAAAAATTGTTTTCCTAGACTGGGGCGAAACATTGGTTTGTTTTGATGTAGGATAAGCTTGGGGATGTCCAGGTGGGAGGTGGTGTAGGATGACTGACTGTCATGAGACTAGGATCACCTTAGGGATGTCCAGGTGGGAGGTGGTGTAGGAGGACTGGCTGTCATGAGACTAGGATCACCTTAGGGATGTCCAGGTGGGAGGTGGTGTAGGAGGACTGGCACTGGTCGTCCAAGTATCCCCCCGAGTCTGAGTTGGCGTAGCCGCGGTCGCAGCCCAGGGCTTTGGGGCGGTTGAGGCTGCGGCGCTGGTTGAACACAAACAACCCCAACCCTGGCCACGGTTGATAAGTTAATGCCTTGGTTAGATCTTGAGAATAAATTAATGAAGAAGTGAAAGATGAAGACAAAATAAGCGCAAGTCTTGCGTGCTGCCCTGCTCTTGTTCTATTTTATGAGAGACAATAAGTTCAGTAAGTAGTAGGTACTAAGGGTGCATATATGAGGCCAGCTCATCTGAATATTGGCCTCATCGTTAATTGGATTTACCGAGTTCAGAATCAAGAATTAAGCTATTAAAACTCATAAACAGGTGACAGAATTTAACCACTTCCAACAATTTATTGTATTAGTAAGCTAGCGATAGGTAGTAGGCAATAATTTTATTTATCTTTTTATGATATTGGCTAGTCACAGCTTTTTTGATAGGCTCTATCATTAGGTCCAGACGGCGACGATTTCATGCTGTAGTTCAATAACTAGCGTCAAATAAAACGATCTCGAATTTATATATTTTGTCGAAATCTTTGTATTTGTGAATTTGAAAGTTTTACGCTTCATGTGGGAGCTAAGCGAAAATCTGTCGCTTATTCCCATAGTTACTGAAATGGTTAATATCTTACCGACTATTTCAGCACACTATGTCTATTGACTGTATGACTATGTCTTAGCATATGACTATGTCTTACCGACTATTAGCAGCACGGCTACTACCACGCCACTGATGATGGCCGCCACAACGCCGACGCCGAGGTCGACCTCCGCTCTGGCCGCCGAAACGCCGCCCGACAATTTGGGACCGCCGCTGGCCACGTCGGGTGAGGCCGACGGCGCCTGTATGGCGTGGATCTGCTTGTCGGCTGTCAGTCGGGAGTCCAGCGACCTGTAATGTCGGCAGTGTTACGGTACGTCGGCAGTGTTACGTGTGTGGGATATATGAGCATCTCTGAGGAATGTAAACACAAAGTACCGAAAACACTGAGGGTTTCAACGCCAGCCAACCCTCACATTAATGTCGGAAATGTGTGCTTACGCCGGCAATGTATCAATAATACGGTGTGTAATGCCGGCATGTTACACATGTCATTATATGCAAGGTTTGAATCGTGCAAATGCAACATTTATACGATTCATAAATCATTTGAGTTTAAATAAATAAGGATATATCATTGGCATCACAATTAACCTGGCATCCTTGGAGCGATCCACCGACGAGTGAGTGAGGACCGCCGCCTCCGCCACGGCGGCGGCGCTGGGCGGCGAGACGAGGTCTTCCTCCGACGATGAGGAGATCTCGGGATGACTGCCTGATGATCGGGGATCCGCCAAGTCAGGGGATCCCGTATCTTGAATGAGGTCAGGTGAATCTGGACCTAGGGATTCATTGAAGTCCGATACTGCAGGCTCCGAATCGGCTGTGGTTTCAGCGAATGGGGGTTCAGGTACTTCTGATTCATTGATTGGGGATGGGGATAGACTCGGGGAGATTAGTTTGGTATTCGGACTAGAAATTGAGGGTTGGGGGTTAAGGCTCGCCGAGTTAGTCTCAGAATTTATTTCTGGCTGCGGATCTGGTTCTAATAAATCGTCATCGCCTGTTTCTGCTCGCTCGGTATTCGTGGATTCCTCCTCCAAGTCTAAGCTCCTTTGAAGCAAAGCCACGTCTTGCGCCTCAGTAGAAGTTGACTGCGCTGCACCCGTACGAAGAAAAGGATTTTCCACTGGCATCTCGAGTCCCGTGCGAGATGCCATAATGCTATGTCCTTCTTGGGGAATGTCTTCAATGTTTTTATTCGTCAATGATGGCAGCGACGACAGTGTTTCGTCGTCACCATCAGCCTTTGAAGCAATTTCTTTCAAAATTGTTCGGTTAAACTTCTCCTTCATTGTTAAATCTGATGTATCTAAAGTTGCAGGTGTTTGAACAGGATCACCATTAGGCGTGAATAATTTGATTTCATCGTTTTTAACTTCATTATTGTTATTTTCCACGACGTTTGTCTTATTTATTTTTAGAATAGAATCACGGATAATAGGATTATTTTTCTCTGCGATAGGATGACTCACAGGAATTTTGACTGGTTTCGCTACATCTCCATCAAATATAACAGTTTCGTAGGTTCCTGCAGTTTCGTTGTGTTTCTTCAGCTTGTTCGATACTGGAGGTTCTTGTGTATAGGGCTCAATCTCGGTGAGCCTTGAAAGCGGTTTGGAAAGTTTGCCGTGGCCTTTTTTCTGTTTAGCCAATTCTGCCTCAATTTCACTATAGTCGATATAAATTCTTGGATCCCTACTAGGTGGATCAAAAGAAAACAGGTTTACATCTTCTTTTTCATAATCGGCATAGGATAAAGCATCTGAGATACCCACGTTATTCAAGGGCTTGTCAACGGCCTCTCTCTTGAAGGGATTCTCGTGAAGAACCAGACTTGCTTTTTTCTCTAAACTAGGAGCCGTCGTACCAAATTTCCCTATTGTTTGCACATTTCCACGCTCGCTAATTTTGGAAGACGAATGAACCTCGGTGTTGGTGGTCGACGTTGATGACGGTGTGGTAGATGGAATGTACCGGTATGCTTCTGTATTATTCCTAACATCAACCGGAGGCTTTGAAATCAAGGATTCAATAACACGTTCGTCCCCCACCAGATCCAAAATCGTGTCGTTAGTTTCATCTTCTGGCTCTGATTCTTTCTGAGGATCAGAGAAGGGATCTTTGAGATCAGATTTTCTCTTCGACAAATGTGACTTATCTATGATTGAATGCGAACTCTTTAATGAGTTGCTCTCATTTTTTGCACTGGTTTGAGTGTTTACTCGTGACGGCAGCGAGGCAGTGACATGGTCGTCAGCCAAGTAAGGATCATCAGTATTGCTCTGCTGGTTTGGTCCAAAAGCCATCGAAGAATAACCACTGACCACCTTGAGGGATGCAGTTTCCTCTCCCGTTGGATCCGCAGGCATAACCGTCGGTATTGGTCTTCTTTCGTCGTCGATGTCATAACTTTTCTTCTCCGGCAGAGGCCGACCATCAACGGATATTCGAGGCTGAAAGACTGGAGATAAAGGAGTAGTTTTCGTGTTCTTAACAACGACAGGTATTGGCTGGGTGGCCTCCATGATGACTGTTGGGAGAGGTAAAGTGGATCGACTTGGCCCTACCTCACTCACCTCAGCAATCACATGACTCACCTGATGAGTTACTTTAGTTTGGGCAAATGGAATTAGGTCCTGTAAATGCTCAGAGCTTTTGCTGTAATTTTGTTCGATAATGGAACTGGAATCAAGCCCCCGCTGATTTCTCCCTCCATTTCTCACACCCAAGCTTGAGGGCGAGATCTCGCGCTGTTTTGTCGGTAGTTGACTGATGTTATCTTGATTAAAATTATCTATATAGGTAGTCTTTTGATGATAATCGCCGTCTTCTTGGGTTTGTGAAGTGAACAGATCCTTGACAACAAAGATGCCACTGGCATCAGGGCCCCGCGTCGCTGGCACCTCAGGTCGAGGGGTCCCCAGCTCGATGGTCCTCAGGGGGGTGGGCTCTCCGTGTGGGGGGATGGTGGTGGGGGGCAGGGCCCCCGGCTCGATGGCCCTCAGGGGGGTGGGACCCCTATAAGGGGGGACGGTGGTAGGGGGCAGGGGCGTCCCAGAGACCACTGCCACTAGCACCACAAGCGCCAACACTGAAAATAAACAATTTCGATGAAATCATTGAAACATCAAATTATTCAATATGCTTTTAAAATGGTGAATTTAAACCGTATATAATTATCTGGTGGGATGACGTCATTCCTGCACGTTGCTACTGGCAAGACTCCTTCATCAGCGCCTCAAATACAGCAAGCTATTATCGTATTTTCCATTACAAAACACATTTCAAATGTTCTCAGTTATAGTGGCTATCGACGTCGTTAATATCATCAACGCTTCATCCGCATGCCTTGCATCCGCAGCAGTAAAATAACACTTAAAAATAACGGCATCAATCATATTAGGCATCGCAAGACGGGACGGTCGGTTTCCGGTTAAACTCGCATTAAACATTTCTAAACTTGCCTAATCTCCAGCCTTATGAGAGAAACATAATAATGTGAAGGTAATTATTATACATAACCATAAATGTAAATATTCATATCCTCACTACTTTACAGCGATACGTGGAATAATTCAGTTCGTTATAATTTCCTGGGCCGTCTTGAGGTAAAGCTAAGCAGGCAACCACATCTTCGAAGGGAACTTCAAGGAACGCTGCATCGTGTCATGTGAAGGCATTACATGAAATTTATGAGCGGTCGTTAGACTGGGTATATTGGGGGAGCAGTGCGAGATATTCACGCTGCAGATCAGCCCGTTAGATCACTAATCACTCTCAAGATCACGCAGCAAATCAACCCGTTAGATCACTAATCACTCTCAAGATCACGCTGCAGATCAACCCGTTAGATCACTAATCACTCTCAAGATCACGCAGCAAATCAACCCGTTAGATCACTAATCACTCTCAAGATCACGCTGCAGATCAACCCGTTAGATCACTAATCACTCTCAAGATCACGCAGCAAATCAACCCGTTAGATCACTAATCACTCTCAAGATCACGCTGCAGATCAAAAGCCAAAGGTTGAGGTCGTCACACAAGAAGCAGCAGTCTATTTGACCCTCCAAGACCTTGTATGGAAACTCATCGCCGGTTTATGAGCGGCCATCCTTCCCCGTCCTCCGACATCATCACTGCCGACAAGAAGAGCAGTTTTTTCCCGTTTTTACTCGCCTGAAAACCGTCATTGTGTTGGTGCAACTGTTACACGGTGACTTAATTTGCGTGTGGCGCCTGTGGAGAAATAATATTTATGCCTAAAATGAAAAATGGATCTGTATTTTACGGATAATAAAAGAATAAATAATACGGATGTTCTCATACAAGAATATTTGTCGCCATAATATAGTAAAAGAAAGTCAGATCGGCATCGTAGGACAGGTGATGTAATTTTCTCAAAATTAGCACGCACAATTACGACTTCATTGGAACTAGACATAATTAGCAGTCGACGCGATCCACGTAACTTTTATAATCAAACGCCGCTGCTCTGTTCCGTTCATCCGCCACTATTTGAGGCTAGACTGCTGCGTTACTCTGTTGCTTTATAAACGTTTTTATAACGTTCTACTTTTTTGTGTTTCATGTGATATATAGAGAGCTCTAAGTTACAATTATTCGGAAGTCGCAGCACCACAGCGAACAGAAAAACGTCAACCAATAAATCATCTCCATGCCTCCCTCGAACTTATCCCACTTAATGGACCAGAAAACACTCGTTGAATCCTAGCAATGAAGATGGGTTCTGTAACAATATGGATGTTTTGGTCTTCAAGTTAAACTTTTTTCGTGATGATCACTTATTAGCAATAGAAGTCAGTAACTAAACATCTATAAAAAAATTCCGTTCCGTTCTTAAGGTCGTATTGCTGTTCGTTTGATCATAAGATGACATTCATTAGGCTCGCTGGACTGCATGACATATAAGTGATCGTTTACGACATGAATGCATGGCACTAATTTAATCTACTGAAAGAAAAGAGACTGTTATAATTTGGTCTTAATCTTAACAATAAACTATAGGTATCTAAGCCAGCCACCAGAAAATATTAAAAATTTCGAACTCGATTGTCCGTGAAATTTTTAATCCTATTTTAAGTCTTAAACAATCGTTGAATTTCACAACCATGATAACTGTTACCACTTGATTGTTTCCCGTCAGCAATTACCTTGAACAAGCAAGAATTGGTTGCAAAGAACCTGCGGCAGGGAGTGACAAGGCTCGATGTTTTACGAACGGATGCTTCCGTTTTTCATTGAGCTTTCGTCTCGCGGTTTGAGGTGCAGGCGTTGCTGTCCTTCACCTCGACTACGGAGATCCTGACGTAGGATTTCCCACACTCCCAATTGCTTCAGATACTGACGTGTACGTGACGATAACGTGTGCGTGACGGTGGCGTGTACGTGACGGTGACGTGAACGTGACGGTGACGTGTACGTGACGGTGACGTGTACGTGACGGTGACGTGTACGTGACGGTGACGTGTACGTGACGGTGACGTGTACATACGTGAACACGACGTTCTCATGCTACGTCGCCATGTCAGTCACGACGTTCCCATGCTACGTCGCCATGTCAGCCACGACGTTCCCAAGCTACGTCGCCATGTCAGCCACGATGTTCGACGTTCCCATGCTACGTCGCCACGTCAGCCGTCGATCAAGCGTCCTTATCACGTCAATTGACCGGCATGACTGATACCGATAGCCGCGCTATCGTATCGTGCTTGATAGCTCATAGTCCTGTCACTCATATATTATATACCGTTTATACGGGCCTCTATTGCTAGCTCAGAGTATGTATCATGACAACGACACTTTTATTATATTCTGTCTGCGTATTTTTATTAATAACTTTGTGTGTCATTGCAAAAACACTTGTATATTATATTCCATAGAGGTGTCTCCATTGTGAACCCTGAGTATGCAAGGACTTCGAGATGTTAATTAAGCCTTCTCTGCACAAGCCTCAGTTTTATTAATTTGAAGAGTGTCTCTGCAGCTTTGAGTCATCTAACAAAATTCCTTCAAATCACTCAAACATGAGTTTGAGTGATGTGGTGTGGCTGGGTGATGTGGTGTTGCTGGTTTATGTGACGTTGCTGAATGATGTGGTGTTGCTGGTATTATATTCGTGTTTGACTTTAACACCAGCAATAATTATAGTTCGCTAAATAATTCTTGATTACTTGAATCCTATTTCAGCTTCCGAATCTCCTTCTGTTCTTCCTTATACTCTGTTTAAAGCATACACCAAATACAAATTTTTTTATTCAGATATGTCTTATCTTCAAAGTACGTTAGCACATTGAGTGACAACTGGAACTTGAATTAATTCACATGAATGAATTTTGCGGTATTTTGAATTTTCCATTTATGAAAGATTGATCGTTTTCGTGTAACGAAACGCAAGACTGGTGCTTAGCTTTCGGCGACGACGCCACTCACAGAGATGAATAGGTCATATTGTCTAAATAATGACACACTTCTATACGTGGCACTGATACGTCCTTTTGCCAGGGCAATCTGGGTCAACATGACACATACAAGGGGAAAAAGTACATCGTTATTTGGACACCGTCTCACTCATTTCATTGAGTATCTTGAGATGATGTTTGGAACTAACTCGAAATGAACTGCCTAATTTCGAGCTGCCATGTCAAAGTTGCAAAGAGGCGGAACCAAAAATCTGAAGTCTAATTTTGTGCCATTCTGGTCATAAAGGCGTAACTTATCTTCCACCTTGACACTCAGAGATAAAAGTGAGACTGTCCAGGTAGCGATGCACATTTGGCCTTTTTGTGAGTCATTCTGATCCAGTTGGGCGACAAGAAGGTGTATCAATGCTACGCACAAAGTGTGTCACTGCTTGAATAATATGACCAACTTATTTGCCTGAATAGATACTTAGGAATTACCTGGGTTCTCAGAGTTCGCGGGGTTCTCAGAGTTCGCGGGGTTCTCAGAGTTCGCGGGTTTCTCAGCTTTCACGGGGTTCTCAGAGTTCGTGAGGTTCTCATCAGAGTCCGCGAGATTTTCAGAATTCGCGGGGTTCTCAGAGTTCGCGGGGTTCTTAGAGTTCGTGGGGTTCTCAGAGTTCGCGGGGTTCACAGAGTTCGCGAGGTTCACAGAGTTCGCGGGGTTCTCAGAGTTCGCGGGGTTCTCAGAGTTCGCAGGGTTCTCAGAGTTCGCGGGGTTCTCAGAGTTCGCGAGGCTCAAAGTTAGACTACTAGTGTTGTTTTATCAGCAGCGCTAGTAAATGGAAATATGCTCGGCTGAACGCTGGTCGTATGATGAATTTTTTTAATCTTTTAACGGTCAGAAAAAAGAGCTAATATTATATCAACTCGACTGATATTTGAATGAATCAAATTTGAATTAAAAACTTCTACTTGTAATGAGCAGCAAGGCAATATTTTTCAAGACGATATATTTTTTTTCTCCGCTATATTTTTCAAGAAGATTATTGACACCGATAATTAGGGTATAGAAAGGCATGAAGCATATAACGGCTTAATGCCCTTTATTCTAAGAGAGAAGGAATGCTGTTACCGACTTACCATCGAAGAGGAAATGTCTTTGGCTTGATGCACGTTTAGTGTGTTACACTCAGAAAAAAATGAGTGAGGCGTTGTCCATATAGCGATGCAGTTGTTGCCTTTATGTGGGCCATCCTTCATAAAGACCTTTTCATTTCATTTTTTTCATAAAGACCTTCATTTGACCTTCATCCTTCATGGTCAGGCAACAGGACATATCAGGGGCAAGTCCCTAAGAAAATGTACACGTTTCGCTATTTGGACAATATAAGCCACTCATTTTTCTGCGCACAAACAGTGCCAGCCATCAGCCCACACTAGGAATATTGCATTAGATTAATTTTTATTATCAAAATGTTTGTTGATTATTTGCTTAGGAATTTATGAACAACTTCCTATCAACAATTCAAATAATATAATTAATAGAAAACGAGTCGCTCCTCCACAGGAAATTTAATCAAAAATTTACCGAAATATGTAAGATCAAACAAGTTTACATTCAAAACTAGAAGTGTTGCGAGATTATGCCTGCGTAAAATATTCTATA